CCCGCGCCTCCCTCCCCGCCGCGGCCGCGCCCCGCCCGGGGAGAGGGGGAAGGCAGGACCGGTGGGGGCCGGTGAGCTGCGCCCTAGCTTTCCCGCCCCCTCGTCTGACCCGACCGCACCAGCTCGCGGGGCGAATTTGAAAGGTACGGGCCAGGTGAGCCTCGGCCCCGCGCGCCCTCGAACCTCTGCCTCGCCCACGCCGCGCATCCTCTGCGGTCCCCCGCAGGGACCGGCCCAGGAACCCCCGCCTCTGCCTCCTCGGGTCCAACCTCGGGGGAGTGTGTCCTCGCTGGAGGTGCCTCTGAGGCAGTCCGAGGCAGAGACTGGGGTCTTGGAGAGCCCCTGCGCTCCGCTCCTGACCCTGACTGTGGAGAGGGGCCAGCGCGGGGGCCTCTTTTGGGCTCCCTCGGTGACCCTGAGGCCCTGGCCACCAGGGATGTGTATGCGGTAGCGAGAGCAGGAGAAGCGGAGTGCCCCACACCTCCAGCCAGTTCTCCTGCCCGGTCACATTGACCCTTGGGGTCTGTGCATTCCTGGTAGTCAGTTCAGTGCGCTTCCGGATACCGAAAGCAGGCACGGATGGGTAACTGGAGTCGAGGGGAGGGAGTGACCTGGTGTGACGTGGGAGTCTAGGGGGATTGTCATCCAGCAGGACGACTGGCACGCTCCCCGGTGTCCTTTTCTGAGGCCAGCCCGCCCGCTGCCCTTGATGGACTTCACTTTGAAAGACTTTGGGGCTCCAGGGCGCTCAGGGCCAGCGGCCTGCCTCTGTGGGCGCGCGCCAGTGCCTAGGATATCCGGGGGATGGGGAGTGGAGGGCAGAGCAAGGTGGAAGACCTTCCTGTGCACCTTCTCCTGCACATTCTACCCACAGGGCATTTGTTTAAATGAACAAACTCCCCGTTTTTGGATGCAAATACTCTTGGTGGGAGGGGTTCAGTTACTAGTTAGTAGGTTGGCTTTAATCAATTCCTTAGCCAGCTGCCTTGAACAAGATGGTTGTGATAAAGAGAGCTTCGAGGAGGAAAGGAAAGAAAGCAGCTTTTGCCTGGGAGGGAACCCCTCCCCAGACACCAGCGCGCACATTCCCAAGGTCCCTGCCTATCCATCTTCCCCCAGCTCTGACTCTAGGAAAAGGTGCTCAGGTTGACTGAAATCCGGTTCCTAAACCTTCCCCCTAGCCCTCGTTCCCCTCTAGGGGCCGGAATGGACAGATCTGATCTCCTCTTTCCCTTAAGGCCTCTGAATATTTGCGTGACAACCGCCTGGTCTTCTCTATGAGCCAAGCCCCTCCCTGCCTTGACTCATTCCACGTGTCTCCAGACGGCCCTCTCCTGAGGTGACATTTTCATCTGCTCACTGGCCATCTCTGCCTGGACGTCGCCTAAAAAGTGTCCTAAACACTCCACCAGTGCACTCACATCTGCCACCAGCAGCCAACCAGGAGTCCAGGCAGAACGTGAGAGCTGGCCTCCACTTCTTCCGTACGTCCTGTCACCCCACAGGACGATGCCACACCGAGATCCTGGATCCCCAAAGTCCTTCAAAGCAGTGCCCCCTCCTTGGCATTTGGACTTTCCCCGGTCCACCCTTCTCTCTGTCCCCTTTCTAAACTATACGTCTGCTTCCATCCCTTCTCTGCTTAAAAACCTCCCTTGGAGTCCCATCACGGGAGGGTGAAGGCCAGCCTCCTGGCTCTGTCACCAGCTCTTCACCAGGCGTCCCACTCCTTTCTAGCTTCCTTGGGGCCACTGCCCTCACTGGCTCTTCTGAGGCTTTGGTTTCACCACACACTTTTCCAGGCTCTTGGCTTTTGCAAGTGCTGTTCCCTGCACTAGGACTCTGCCACCCGCCCCCTTAAGTCTTCACCCTTCAGGTTGAGGCGCCCTGGGGCATCCCATCAGGCCTTTCCTCTGTATAACCAGCAGCATTGCCTGGCACTGTCATTCTCTGTGAATAAGGCCATCCTTACACTAAGGGTGGGCTCCTCCAGGGTGGGCACCCCAGTGTCTTACTCATCCTTCGTCAGGGTCTGAGGCAGCACCTCGTATGGGCGATCACTAGATCACAGGGATCTACCGCTTTGCGTGGTTTCACCATCCCTTAAATTTGATGTAACACAAAATGGAAGCTCTTTCTTTCACACTGTGCTGCACCAAGGGGCAAAGAGTCATTCGTTTTTTGAATCAGAAAATATTCAAGTGAAATTACATGTATTAAGATGAGTATAATAAAACCTTCCAATGAAAAATAAGCTAAAAATATCCTCCTAATTACAAAATCAGTTTAGGAAGTCACTGAGTACTGAAGGCATATAACCTTAAGCTAAATTCCGCATGTTCTAATTCTTATCATATTTAGTGCTTATTAGGCAGGCTATTACTAAAATCTCCATTTAACCAACATTTTGCTCAGAATCATTCACAAAGTAAAGTATTGATAAATATTTCAAATGTTTATACCTGATTAGCACTTAGTAAATGCTCTATAAGTATTTAAGGAATTAATGGTATGTTTTAAAAAATATTTATTTTACCTAAAGATTGTTTATTTCTTCCTTTGGGTTATAAGAGGTAAAAACTAGAAACAAAGTGGATTCTTATTTTTGTTGCAACCTCAGCCTTCAAGAATCCTCATGTTTATAAAATGTTGCTTTATTCTGCAGGAGAATTGCTAGAAGCAGAATGAAGCTTAGGAATGATCTGGTCCAACACTTTAATTTTACAGAAAAAGAAGCAGAAACAGAGGGTTAAAATGACAAGCCCAAGATCACACAGCTGGCTAATGGCAGATTTTGGAAACATATGCTAGTAATTCAAGACTGTGCTGTGTGGGATAAAGGAAGTGCAAATTTGTATTCACTGATATCTAAATATTTTTAAGGTCACATGGTGTGTCACCAGACTATCAAATGTTAAAACACATTTGTATTCTTAAACCTAGTAGGAAAATGACTTGGATTTTATTTTTTCGTAGTAAAAAGATATTCCTCAAATATATGTTGGAAACTTCTAGAAACAGGTGCTTGATAGCTTTTAATATAACTGTATCTTTTAAATCCATAAACACAATAGTTTACTTTTGTCACTCCCAAAAGACTTTTTCGGTTTGTAAATGAACAAATTTAAGCCACATAGGCAGCACCAGCAGTAAATCCGCAGAAAGCTACAGCCTCGAGGGTTACATGGACCCCCAAAATCTAGGGAGAAAGTTAGGAAAAGGACAAGATGTAGCCTCTCTGACTCCAAGAAAACCAGAAACCCATACTCGATGGATGAAAAGATTTCTCCACAAGGAGACTTTCCGAAAGTAGATTGTTCTGTTGTGTGGTTGGAAGTATTTTACCTGTGAGGTGGAGGTGGAGATCTTTCCTTACTTTTTATCAGGAGGATAATTTGTAAATGTGGGGTTGTAACGTTACAGAAATGAGTTAAAAACACAATCAGGTTAGCCCTATGTAGTAAAGGATTAATCTCACCCACAGAGAGGTCTGGTCTTGCCCTGGGCTTCTGCGAGATCTCTAAGCCATTGGAATGTCATGTCTGACAAGATGTCTTGGCTTACCTGGGGGCCTGGGGCCACACCAGATAAGGTGGGGGCTTTGGGCCATGTGATAATAGCTCAACCTCCAGAGGGCTGAAGACTGAGGTCAGCCACCTGGGTGGCCGACCAGTTCTAGGTGATTGAGCCCCAATAAAAACTCTGGACACCAAGGCTCTGGTGAGCTTCCCTGGTTGGCAATGTTGTCACACATTGCTGCTGAGGAATGTCAGCGCTGTCCACAACTCCACGGGGGCAAGACGCCTGAGAGCTCCAGGTGGAACTTTTCTGGACTCTGTCCTATGCATCGCTTCCCTTGGCTGATTAAATCTGTAGGTTTTCACTGTAATAAACATAACAGTGAGTATCCCAGCTCTCAGTGAGTTCTGAGTCCTTCTAGTGAATTT